GATAATCAGCATTTTCGTTGCTTATTCCGGCTCTATGTTCGATATTGGAAGTCGTTCAATCCATTTCGCGATTTGACTCTCCGGGTTTTTGAACTGCAACAACCACTTAAGGGCAGCATGATCGGTACGGATTAAGAATTTTCTTTCATATAGGTATTGGTAGAAGTATTCCACGCATTTTACTGCCGGGAGTTCTCTTCTCGTGACGCAGTAATTTCGCTCAGGTTTCGAGAGCACTTTACTAAAATAACTCAGTACTCATTTCCCTCCTTGGATTTGTGAAAGCATTCCTCCAATTCCTACATTACTGGCATCAGTATCCAGAACAAATTCTTCCTCTGGTTGTGGGTAGCCTAGTATTGGTGTTGCTGTTAAATGCTTCTTTAATGTTTCAAAGGCAGTTTGACAGTCTTCGTTCTAGCAGAATTCTCTCACTTTTGCTATGATTCGTGTGCTTAGCAATATCTGCAAACTTCTTGATGAATCTTCGATAGTACGTACATAGCCCAAGAAAACTTCTAATTAGTTGTTTTTGGTTTTGGCCACTTTTTGATATAAGCGACTTTTTTTATTTACAAGCACGCCATCCTTGCTCACTATATGACCTAGGTAATTGTCTTTATTTTGAAATAGTTGACACATCTTGGGGTTTAGCATAAGTTAGGCAGCTTGAAGTCTTTTAAAAACATCTAAGTCTTTTAGATGTTCATCACATGTCTTCCCTAAGACTATGATGTCTAAATAAACCAGGCATGTTTGTTAGGATAATCCTCTCAATACATTTTTCATGTCGCGATGGCATTACATAGTCCAAATGGCATGACATTGAATTGCCATAATCCAGATCCAGTGGAAAAAGCTGACTTTTCATTGTCAACTGGGTCCATTTCCACCTAAGTCTAAGGAATAAAATAGTTTACTTCCTGCCAATGTGTCCAAGGTATCGTCGATTCGAGGCTGTCTTTCTTGGTAACATTGTTCAACTGACGATAGTCCACACAGAACCCTGTATTTCCATCTTTTTTTTTTTTGGACTAATACTACCGGGGAGACTCATGGGTTGGTGGAAGGTTCTGTCTTCCTCCATTTCCCAAATAATTATTTTAGCTTTCTCTTTCTTGGCCTGTGGTAAACTTCGAGCCGATTGACGAATCGGCCTGGCATCACCAGTGTTAATTTTATATTTTACCTCCTTTGAATACAAAAATGTCACGATATTTCATTATTTTTTCTTTCTTCATTTGATTCAGAGATTAACCAGTAACTGCAATCATTTGCTCGAATTTGTCTTTAGAATTATCAGAAGTTGTTTTCTGACGAATTATAGAAGTTATTGGTACACAGGTTCCGATTCTGGTCTCTTTCTTGATGGTGATTGGGTGATCATTAACGTTTATAAGACGTACTGGAATCTTGACCAACCCGTTTCCGATCAGAATTCCTCGTCCAACCTCTTCATCGTAGTTCCATCGTGACAGGTGTTTCTTCTTCCATAGTTTTTTGAAGCCGTGCTACTATAATGGTTTAGCTTCTACCAGTTATCACTGTGTCTTTCTGTATAGCTACTGGCACGGTACTGTACACATATGGATTTAGAAATACCTCTTGGGCACCAAAGTATAACTGAAAACCATGTAAATTCATTACATCCATTCCAAGTATTAAATCAGTAATATCAGCGACAATAACAGTATGAATAAACTTTTCTGTACCAATTCCCAATTGAACCTGGATTTCCCCATAGATACCTGATAGTCTTCCTCTTTACCTTTTTGTCAGCAAAGCTCTTCAATATGTAAACTACTTGGTCGAGTTTATCTTCGACGTTTTCTTCTTTTACATACCTCACTTTACTGTATCCTCCAGAAGCATACGTAGCTGCCGCATACTCTAAAACACTGGACATCAACAAATGATTGAACCGCCAAACATTCCATCATGTTTTCTGGAGCTGATGGGTAGGCAAATCGCACCAACCTGGCAATATCTACTTCATACTTTTCGTGTTCGTGGCCATATCGCATGTTTATTCTCTTTTTAAGTTGTTCAAAATCATTGGTCTCTTCTGCAGGTATAGTCGGAAGGACATCTAAAGCATCTCCTCGAAGGACGATAATAAAATTTACTGCCTTCTCTCGATCAGACCATTCGTTTGCTCTGGCAGCTGTTTCGAACTGTTTAAGGTAATTGGCCATGACATCTTCCAGTCGAAAGTTAAGGCACACTTTACAGCTCCTTCCAATTTTAACTTTGACTTCACTTCATGGCACTTTATTTCACCGTCCCTAGTCTGGTCTACGTGTTCTATTTCTTGTAGCCTTCTCTTCCATTTCCTTGTTTTTCTCCTCAACAAATGTTACGATTCTGGATGAACAAAAGTATTAGTACAGGATCCGTAAGTAATGTCGACCTTCGCCCATCTGTTTAATGGATAAAAGTTTTTTTTTATTAAACAAAATATGTTTTTAAATATACCGCAAATGGGTTGCCTAAGAAAATACGGTCAGGGCCATTTTTTGCTTTCCTTTCTGTGTACAGATAAGGAAAGTATAGGAATCATGATAAAAGTTGCTTATGATGCCATTCTTTATTATTTTGTTTCTATACATAATTTCCCTAAAATGGACCTAATTCGAGATATTTGAGGAAAACTGCAAATTTCTAATTTTGAAGACAACCCAAAAACGGATAAAGAGAAAAACACCAAATTTTAAACTTAAGCTTTAATCTATCCTGCGGCAAGCTGATTAAAGTTTAGACATTATCGAAGCATCTAGGGAATACTTTACAGGTTGTAGTTTTTTTTATTTTAAGAAAATAAATACTCTGGACCATATTTTCTTAGGCTAACCTTTTGCGCTGTATTTATAAAAATATTTTATTTATTAAAAAGAAACTTTCATCCATTAGACAGATGGGTGAAGGTCGACCTTACTTCGGATCTTAGACTATATAGAGAAGGTTAGACAATGGGCCTTTACTAGTAATTGTTTATAAGTAGGAAGAGACATTAATTTTTCTCAATAGAAGAAATATTATTTTCCACATCAATAGAAATTTCATTTTATAGAGAAGACATTTCAGGAAACACTTTTTATCTAAGGAAGAAATGTTATTTTTTTACAAAAGAAACAGAAGAAATTTTATTTTCTAGAGAGGACATTTTAGTTTCCAAATCGGATGAAATTTCGGTTTTTAATATGAAGTCATATCAAGACACTTTAGTTTCTATGAAAGAAATGTTAGAAGAAATATCGGTTTTTAAGAAAAAGATGTTACTTTCCATATCGGAAGAAATTGTAGAAATTATAGCCGAAGATGAATAATCAGAAAATAGATACGTTTTCGAATCCATACCCTCATTTTCTAGTGCTTTTTTAAGTCGATCTGCCACCTCTGATTTCTTTCCTGTCGTCTCCAATTTACGTTCTTCTAATTCTCGATGCAATCCAGCCACTTTTAAATCATATAGTTTTTTAGCCATTTTTGCCTACTATTTATTTACAGTTCCATTTCTAACAACAATGTAACGTTTATTTAATTTAAAAATAATTTACTTATTAAAAACAGTTTATTTTAATTTTTTTATAATGAGAATTGGCTAACACCGCCGATATAAGAGAAGCACCTCTTGGCGACTTTGTCAACTACATTAAATCTGTAGGCTGGCTTACGAGGAAGGAGGTGCCTACCTACTTAGGAATTTGCACAATTGTCCTACTGAGGCCTAAGTGGCGTGGGTTAACCCACCCTCCACACGTTACAGATACAGATACAGAACGTACGTAGAAGCTCAGTGTAGAAGTTCTGGAAATTATTCTCCGCGCATCAGACTGCGATGGAAAATATTGGAATCGGTTTCTCAAGTCTAGAAATGGGTCTCAATATAGCCAGCGCTAGACTTTCTGTCGCGGGTACGGTAATAAACAAAGAACAGGGTCGGCGACAATAATTTATGTATTTTTTAAATCTTCGATCTAACCGAAAATAGTTGATGAATACAAATTGTTTTGTAGTCTATTAACTGAAATAACTAAGGAATATAAGGAAGAAATATACCCTTTCTTAAATTTCAAAAAATTGGAATAAGTTTTTCCTAATTTATGCAAAATATACCAAATTTTTTCAACAATTGCTACAAACACTGCAACAGGCGAAAGATCTTTCAATAGGAAATTAATATAAGCCTAAAATTCGATTACAATATGAAATAATCATTACTTCGAATTTCATATACGTAGTATTTATTACTATCAATAAATAAATAATGAGTTGTTGTGTATAAAAAAATATTTCCTGTATTACTATAATATTAACACGCCACGAAACCCTCACTAGGCCTATGAATTACTTTGCCATATGATGACGTAGCTGTCTTCTTCTTATTGTAATCGGGCCCTACCTATAATTTTTTTAAGTAGGTCACATATTTGTTAAAAATTCTTCTTTTTAATCGCCCCCTATATAAACATTGGGTTTGGTTATAAATGGGGTCAATAGTTCATCACGTTTTCTTTGAAAATTATTTTACGATAAATCAAGATGGATTTTATCGAATTTTAAATATATAAACAAAACCATATTATGTAAAATTCATAGAAGGTATTGTTTGTTTTTTTTACTAAAAACCCAATGGAAAGTTTTTTTAATTATCAGAACTTGATATTTCTCAGCAAAGTAAGTTGTTTTTAAATTGTATAGGTTTTATCGGTTTTTATTGTTTCATCGTTATAAAAGGAATGTTTGGTTTTTGAACTTTGTTCTGGTTTGTTTTTACAACTAGAGTGTTTTACGTAAAACGAATTATTATTCAAGAAGTTGGCTAAATACCTGGAATTTTTCATATTATCACTGACTTTTCATTGGAAAAGTAACAAACTGAAAACCAAAATAGTATTAATTCTTAATTCAAATTGTGTTTTAACGCAGGAATATCCAGAAATGATATGACAAGGGTAGTCCAAAAACCGAAATTTATCATTTATATTAATTTTTTACAGAGATGATTGCCAAGTACTATCATGGTCAGTCTCGACCAATCAATCCACGAGAATCACCAAATTTAGTGAAGAAATTTACCCAACCGATCTTCAATTTTTACCCAGAACTGGTGGATCTTTAAGTAAACATGGGGATCTCATCCTAATAACAGCAGCCGATGGACGATTCCACATCATGAACAAAGCAGGAAGAATTGAAAGATCCGTAGAAGCCCATAACGGAGCCATTCTGGTTGGTCAATGGGGCAATGATGGCACTGGTCTTTTAACGGGTGTGTATGCTTTTAATAATTATCTTAACTGTATTTGATTTACATTGGGCGCATTCAGGTAATTTGCAGCTTGAGTTCAATTGAACAGTACATTGGTGGTTTATGTTGATGACAATTGATTTGACATTTGTTTGATATTTACACTTAATTTATTTGATGGTTCATTACCTGAATATGCCCATTGAAGGGAGTAAAAAACAATAAAAGGTAGAAATAAAAAACTTTTAGGGTATATTGTATTATAGTCTAAGATCCAAAGTAAGGTTGACCTTCACCCATCTGTTTAATGGATGAAAGTTTCTTTTTATTAAATAAAATATGTTCATAAATATAACGCAAATGGGTTGCCTAAGAAAATACGGTCCAGACTATTTATTTTCTTAAAGTAAAAAAAATAACACCCTGTAAAGTATTCCCCAGATGCTTCTACTATGTCCAAATTTTAATCAGCTCACCGCAGAGTGGATTAAAGCTTAAATTTAAAATTTGGTATTTTTTTTTTCATTCGTTTTCGAAATTTGCACTTTTCCTCAAATATCTCGAATTAGGTTCATTTTAGGGAAATCATGTAAGGGAACAAAATAATAGAGAATGACATCATAAACAACTTTTATAATGATTCCTATGCTTTCCTTATCTATGCACAGAAAGAAAAGTAAAAAATTACTGTGACCGTATTTTCTTAGGCAACCCATTTGCGGTATATTTAAAAACTAATTTTATTTAATAAAAACAAACTTTTATCCATTAAACAGATGGGTGAAGGTCGACCCTTATTTCGGATCCTGGACTATTAGGTTATATGTCAATATTTTTTACGTTCCTCTATTGAAATAACTTTAAAATGTACAGTTTCATAATTTACTTTATCGCACATTATTATCTTCATTTTCCATTCTGAATTCGCTTTACAACAAAGATGCAGCGATACAGCCAAAAAGCGCCACAGAACATATCCTTTACGGCTGTAATGCAGCGCTACAGTGGATTAAACTGTATTTGTTCATTCTGCCAACCGCTTTAAATCGTAGAAACGCTGCAGTTCCCTGAACGCAACCAATATGTAGAACAAAAGTGCAATAACAATAGTAATATGATAATAGGCAGTATGTAGGTACAACAACACTATACTCAGACAAAATATTGAAGAAGGTGAGTCATATGCATGATCAACACTGTTGTCTATGAATGAAAATTCCGACAGTTAGCATAAGCGGCGTATCAAATACCAAATAATTATTTATTATTTATTAGGTATTTGTTAGTAAACTTTATTAAATTTGTTTGTCAATATCTTTATTTAAACAAAGATGATGCGTTAAATATACGTTTTTGATACTTTTCAAGAAATGAATATATTTATTCCCTAATGACTTCGTTATCTGTGTTTAATGGTTTTAAAATGTGTTCAAGTAAATAAACGACAGACGAGTTACAGATTGAATATTGTCAGCACAGGCACAAAGACAGTTGAAAACTAACTTTCGACGAAGTTAGATTTGTATCGCTTTAACAATTTACGATAATTATTTTATATTTTATAAATTGTATAAATGTTTTTTTCTGATATACGAGTAGGTGTTCATGTTTGTGCCTTACAATTTGGTAGTGGTAGTGCCTATTTGAGGAATTATATTTATTGTGTAGTATATTAGGTAGGTACTATATAAGTTTATTAAATAGTAAAATATTGGTATCTTCATAAATTTAATAAAAACAATTTAATAGTAGAATTATATTGTTACAATAGTAATGGATTCAGAGGCGGGTCCAAGTGAAACCCAATTACGTCGGCGAAAGTCCTTATCAAAGGATGAAAAGAACATTATATGGAAAGTGTATGATGGGCTGAGACACTTCCTACAAATGAAGCTGTAAACCGCAGTTCTTTTTTAACTGGAGTATCTGTTTCAACAATTGAACGTATTGTACGCGAAAAGACAAAAAAGGCTCCCTAGAATCCCCCAAAACGCATACCCAGGGTCGAAAATTGTTGAAATTGGACGATAACCAAAAAAAAATCATTTGAAGAACTGTACATTCTTTTTTTTTTTTTTAAACAAAGCCCCAACACTTAAAGTTGTTGAAAAATTTTATGGGGCCTAAAATTTCGTTTTGTCAAACAGTGTGGGAAATCCATTTTAATTGAGAGGTCAGATATAGTGTCCTGGCGATGGCGTTATTTACGAAATATTAAAGAGTTTAGAGCCGCTAAAAAAAGATATACTATCTCGACGAAATGTAGGTGAATGCTGGACACACGGTATCTAAGATATGGCAAGATACTTCTGTAACTAGTCATCGCCAAGCATTTATAGAGGGATTATCTACAGGTTTGAAAGCACTATCAGGTAAAGGACAGCGCCTAATTGTTACCCATATTGGAAGTTGACAGTGGATTTTTGGAAAATAGCGCTCTTGTGTTTATATCGAAAAAAACAGAAGATTACCACGAGGACATAAATGCGTAATGCTTTGAAAAATGGTTTACTGAAGTATTACAGTATGTAGAACGAAATTCAGTTATTGTACTAGATAACGCTTCTTATCACAGTCGACGAGTTGAATGCATTCCGATAATGTCCAGTAGGAAAGCGGATAGGCAAACCTGGCTGCGGGATAAAGCAATAACATTTACTGAGGAGATGCTTAAAGTGGAATTAATGGACCTAATAAAAGAACACCGCCATAAATATATTCATTATGTTGTCGACACAATGGCTCGTGATCGTGATATTACGGTACTAAGACTTCCTCCTTATCACTGCGAATTCAATCCTATTGAACTAATTTGGGGCAAGTGAAAGGGTTTGTAGCTCGAGAAAATAAAACTTTTAAAATAGCCGACGTTCAAAGTTTATTAACAACCGGTATAGAACGTTTAAAACCTGAAGATTGGCAGAATGTTATTTCCCATGTAATTAAGGAAGAAAATAATATGTGGCGCTTGGACAGTATGATTGAAACGGTAGTTGAACCTTTAGTCATAACTTTAAGTTCCGACGATAAAGACGATTCCAGTGATAGTTCTGCAGAATCAATGGAGTACGAAACTTCATAGATTTAGAATTCAAGTAAGTGATACCAAGCTTGATTTACATATTTTTGTAATGAACAAAATACAAATATAAACATAGATGAATTATTATTACAAAAATAGATAACCAACCTACTTTTATCTAGTAATATATTCACAAATACCCATTTAATTTGCCAATATAGTATTTCTGCGACACTGAAAGAGTGCATTTTGATATGATAACGATACCTTTTGCAGTTTTAAGGCACACCTTTGTCAATATTTTGTTCTAGTATAATACCTCATTTAATTTTCCAGTAGTGTTTCTACGCCACTGGCATATTATTTACATATTTTAACAATAAAGAAAACAAAATTATAAACATAAATGATTATTACTACAAAAATAGATAACCAACCTACTTTCATATAATATTATTTACTATTACCGCATTTAATTTGCCAATAGTTTTTATACGCCACTGGCGTAATTCATTTTCGCAATAAACATGCATTCGACCTATGTCGTGATTACAGCGAAGACTGTTCCTTGTAAAGGAGGATCCACTTGCAGATACAACTATTCAATTCCAGTTTCAAGAGAAAGTATCTTGAGGAGAATGCAATGTCGTGCTGGCCGTTTTTAACCAGTACCTCCCTGATTTTTGTTTACCTGTTCGTCGTTCAAGTCACTTGCATATGTTCCGCTGCCACTGGTCTCGATTCTTGAGATCAGAGATAAGGGAGATAAAGATAGGAAACGCCCATAAGAAGCCAATGCTTAACAACGACCAGCTTTATCTCATCTGACCCACTATGTGGCGCTTTCATCGATATCAACGCAGCGGGAAATTTAAAAATCTGAAAATAAAGGTTATGTAAATATCGAGTGCACTCTCATGTTCTTTTAAATAAACTTAAAAAATGTAATTACGCTAAATTATTTATTAAAAAGTATACTACACTTACTACACTTATCGATTAATTATTGTAAATCTATATTCATGACAAATATTTTTTAATTTTTGATTGTTATTTGTAACATTGAATTTTTGTTATTATTTTTCAAACGAATGGCCAATGATTTAAAAATGTTGAGTGCCAATTCAATAATGGGAATTCAAATATTTTTCGTCTTATATCAAATCTTCTTTATAACGTTTTGAAGCCATTTTCTTGTTCTAAAACAATAAATAATACATAAATACCTACTTTGTGACAAAAGTTAATTACTTTTTGTGTTACTTACATGAATAGATCTTACGTACTGTGGTTAATTAAAGAACGCCACATTGGGGTTGTTAAATTTGTTCATGTGGCATATGTTACTAATGCAATACGTTCCCCGCCTTATTGTAATATTACAAAATATAATTATTGTCATCAAATTTCACACAAAAATAGCCACAACTATTTCGCTTAGTTCATCTAGAGGATAATACAATCATGAACTCAAAATTTTAAATTTAAATTCAGGATTCTTCCATATACATAAAACTAACTGATATTTATATTTACAAACTGTCCACTGCTGTGCACTGCTACTGTCTGTCTCAGTGTTACCAACCGTACGATTTAAATTGTATTTATACGATTTTTTAACTGTACGATGTAAGATTGCATGAGTGAGATCGTACCACAGACCTTGATCGTACGTAAAAATATTTAAATATCTGCAACAACTTCAGAACATAAAACAATAAAACTCAAAAACTACCTGCAAAGATTCATAGGCCGTTCGTAGCAAGCAGTCATTTTCGTTCTGACTTATCGTGATTTAGATCATGGTGATTTTGTACACCGACTATCACGGCATAAAAAAAGCTAGCATACAAAATTTCAATCACTTTCAAGTGACAGTCATTGATTACTTTAAATGTATTAATTTAAAGTTTCATGTATTTTCTTTAGTTTTTTTTTCGTTGTAAACATTTTTATAAATAGATAAATAAATTATTGTACATTTTTTTTGTCGAAATAT